AATTTTGCAAGTTTAAATACAATAATAAAGTATTTTTAAAATAGTTTTAAAATAACTATTATATGAAATTGATTTGAAGTAACAAAGACTTCTGAAATTTAATGTTCATTTAATCAAATAATAGTAATTCTTTAAAATAATATTAATGATAATGATTTCAAAATAGTACTACAATAGTAGTATTACTAAAAATAATCAAAATAATCAAAATAACAATGATAATGCAAATATCAAGGACGATAATGAAAATAATGGAGAAAACAATAATGATAGTAGTAAAAACAGTAGCCAATAGTCTAAAGGTGAATATTATGATAAGCCATTAAAATAATAATATAATAGTAATTGAAATAATCATTTGAGTGATAAAGGAAAATAGAGGTTTTACTATTTTTCAAATAATAAAAAAAACTAATATTTTGGAGTAAAAATAATTTTATCCTATTCAGAATTCAAATACGAACAAAACGAGGTATTGCGCGTCAAAAACGTAGAGAAAACGAAAGAGTTATGAATTTTGGAAGTTTTAACAACATAAAAGTTAATTTCCAAAATAGTTTTTTAAAAAAAATAACAGCTTTAAAATATTAATTTAAAATAACTGAATTTCTGAATTTTAACACTCTACATTAAAATAATAATAATGAAAATAATAATAATGATAATAATAATAATAAAAATAATAATAATAATAACTAATCTAACAAGAAAAATAATAATAATAATTACAATAATAATAATTAAGGAAACTAACTTAAAATATTAACAAAACTAGCAATATAATAATAATCCTAATAACAATAATAAACTTGAAAATAATAATAATAAAATAATAGAGCAGTAATTAAACGACTTAAAACATTAGTTAATATTTATATAACTATAATTAGAATAATGTCATTAGTCTAATTAAAATTTTTTTAAGAAAGAAAATGGCTGTTTTAAAATATTTTGAAATATACCCAATATTTTTTACCAAGAATAATTTTAAATTGTGGAGGCCGAAAATAAAAACAAAACAAGTATTGCATGCGAAAAACAGAGCAAAATTAAATTTATTACGATTTTGTTTTTGAAATAGGTTTAAAATACAATTTAAACAGATTTTTAAAAAAATCCACGCGGCAGGCCACGTGGCGCGCTCCGGTTGGCTGCCGCAGTCCCGGTGACGGCGCCCACTGATTGCTCGCAATCATTGGCCGCAATCAAAGCCACTCAACCACGTAGGCTACTCTACTGGCCGTCGGATCGACGCCTGGTCCGATCTGACGGTCCAGATCTCGGCGGACTGAGATCCGAACTTCCGAATGACCTACACGGCTGCACCGAACCGCAGTACAACTCGAGCCGAACCGTTGATCGGCGGATCAACGGCTCAGCCCAAGTCTGGCCCAGGCCGACGTGAGACCGAGCCCTAGGGGTGTTTTCTGTCGATTTCTCTTGATTGGATAAACAAAATCAAACTAAATTTTAGATCTAGGATACAAAAGTGAAGAGCATTCATGGAGATATTTTATTTTAATCTAAAACGCACTGTAAAAGAACTTATTTAAGTCTAAGTATTCTAAACTAGGGTTCACGATATACCTCAATCCACTAGGTGGATTCGGGAGATCTTGTGCTCGTTGGACTCGCAGACTCCCCAAGAACAAGTTCCTAGTTGACCTCAAGCCTTGATTCTCCTTGAATCGAGCGGTAGGAATCCCGAAAGGTTTTTTTTTGCTTCGGTTTCGCCGGAGGATCGCCGCCGGCGAGCTTATGGCTGCTGGATCTGGTCGGAAAAGGTGGTGGAAGGCTGTGGGAGTTCTCTCCTCAAATCTCAGAGGCTGAGAGTGCTTGGGGAGAGAACAAGAGCAAAAAAGTCCCTAAATCTAACCTAATTTTGGCTATTTAAAGCTCCTAATCCTATGATCAGCGGCTAGGATCGATCCCAGATGAAATTAGGAGGGAAAATAGCCTCATGAGGCCGTGGTTTGAAATAAAAAACGGTTGGAGGCTTTAATTGCACTTAATGGGCCCTTAATTCCTCCCAAATAGGTGTTTATGACCTATTTATGACTCGATTTGACCAAGTCAAACGTTGACTTGGTCAAATCAATCACTTAGATCAACGGGGAGTGAGGATCAAGCCACAAAAGGGTCGATTTGGATTTAAGTTCGATTTGGACAAAATCGAGGTCAACAATGTTGAGCGTGTTGAGATTCAAAATAGAATCTCAAAGCATTCCATGAGGCCAAATAACAACATAAATAATTATGTTTGGTATTAGTAACATAATAAAATTGCAATGAGATAGAATATGAATGGCCACAAGTTTTGGTTAAACTAATCTGGGATAAAAATCAATAAAATCCTCTAGCACAAAGTTAGACAAAACATATATAAACACAACTTTGCAACAACAGGGTACTTTCAAATTTATTTGAGAATGGAAAAAGACTGACGGAAAATAGCACAATTATGATCAACAACTTCGTGTAGGATTTGGGAAGGATTTTCGTTAAATCCTACCAAATCCCTGAAAAGGAACTTGTAAATCCTACCATAAATAAATGCTGGATTTGGTAGGGTTGGATAAATATTAGATTAAATCAGGATTTATAATATTTGGTATCCTATTTTAGACAAAATTAATTCAATATTTATCTTAAATCATGCTAAATAATTTTTTGGGGACTTTAAATCAGATTATTTTGATAAATATTATTTAAGACTGTTATTAGTTGAATAAAATTTGTTAAATCCCATCATTCATAGGATTAAAGGACCCCTCCCTCTCTTAAGTCCATAAACAAATAGCAAACAACATGTCAGGATATACAAATACAAAAACAAAAAAATATGATTTTTATGCTTCGCAGACGGACGCTAGGTCTTGGGGTTTGACAGCTAAAGAAAGGAAGAAATGCTACCTTCGCTACAAGTAAACTCCTATTGTCGCCCTTGGTTCCGATGAAGCAGAAGAACGGCGGAAGGTGTGACTTCATATCTGTCAAGAGTGAAGGGTGTTGTCACAATTGTGATTGTAGAGAGAAATCCTATATGTTTGTGTCGGTGCTGGCGTGAGACAGACAGATGAATGGGGATTTGCGAATAGGGGAGGCGGGAGACGCTGGCTTGAAGTGTGGTCCTGAGAGGAGGATGAAAGAAGAGTTGCAACTAATCGAAATTAACTGCAGGAAAAATCGTAGATGAGCGAAAGGCAGGAGGTCAGTTTGAAGAAACTCATACCTATTCGAAAGAAGCTGTTGAAAGATCGGCAACTTCCGCACAAATGGAGCCAAGGATGCAGCCTGCTGGAGACGAGTATGAGTATGGGGATTGCGATGACGAACAATAATCGCCTGTGAGGAAGATTTCCGCGATCAGAATATCGTGATGATAGGTATGGTAGTGGAGACGAGGGTATGGATATGGCGGAATGATCGACAACTTCCGCACTAATTGGGGCAGTAGTGTCATTTTTGTTTTTCGAAACTGTGGAAAGCAGCGTAACGCGGGAGGTAAGGTTCGGTCGCGCAGCGAGGGGCAATGGAAATTTTCGTAATCAGCTCTGTCACGATCACTCCAAACAAATGTTTAACTGCTTTTTAAATAGTAAAACAATAGTGACGCCGTCCCAAACCAGCCCTTAGGGTAACTCCAATGAAACGGTAAACAGTTATTTGCTGTTCTTGCTTTGCTTCAACTGACCGTCATTTTTGACGCCATTTGATCAGAGATGCACTGTTCATCTTCACCATTTTTTTGGTCTCTATCGAACTTGCCGAAGAAACGCGCGAATGACCGTTACGGGTAAAATGACGTTCAATTGGAGATGAATCACAGCATTTTTTAGTTTCAGACATTTTGGAGTGAAAGATGAGATTTTCGGTTGGAGATACCCTTAGTGACTCTTTCAAAACTCTACTTCACGGGAAACATGCAAAGTGGAGTCAATGAAACAAATAAAATGGAGAAAAAGGAAATAGCATAGATGAGCAAAATCATTGAAGAAGCTTTTATGTTTTATCTGCACGCTAAGTTCTCAACTACTTTCAGAACTTTTTTTTTTTGATCAGATAAGTATAAGATCTATAAATGATTCAGAGCTGCTATAAAACTCAAAAGAGGCAATTTGATCCATTTGAGCAACAAAATCTTCTAATTTTTTTTCAACACAAAATCTAAATGATTTAGGATCCACTTGGAGCATCTACTTCTAATAACATTTGTAGAATTATAATTTGGAAAATAAAAATTTCAAAAATAATTGTGCATAACATAAATTTTTTATCTTCACAAAACTAACAACTTTTTAAAAATTATAATCACGAACGAACCCTTAATTCAAAAAGATCTAATCTCTATATTGCATTTGTGCATTTTTTTACAGGACTTTTGAGCTTATCAAGGCAAACTCACATACAAATCACATATGAAAGCTTCGAATCTAAAATCTCTTGATTGATAGCCAAGCTCCTAACCAACATATCAAAGTGAGCTACGTGCATGTGTGCATTACAAAAGCTACAATAACATGGCAGATAAATTTATCGTGTACTATATAGCTTAAGTACAACAAAAATATTATAATATTACATATGATTTGAATTTATATTGGCAATCTATAGTATTTAATGTTGTAATTTACTTTATTAATGAAGATATTCTCCTTTATTAGCTTATTTTCTTTAGGATGAAAGATGTTTGAATGAATGTCATGAAATGGTTACTTTGATATTATTGTTTATGCACATTATACTAATCTTGCTCTAACATATATAGTTATATTCCTTATTGTAAGGGTCAAAAGAAAGTTAGAGAGACGGTTTTTTCTTCAAATTTCTAAAGGAAAAATATTTGCTTGATATCCTCATATAATTTTTGATATAAATAAATTCAAATATATTTTATTTATTATAAAATAAATATAATTAATTTCAAAATAAATTTAATAAATTTAAAAGTACAATTATCATTTGATCATAATGGCATAAATAATTTTTTTTACATTTCAAAATTAGGTTTTTCTTAGAAGCGCCGGCGTTATCCACTCTCCCGGCCTCTGCTCCGTCTTTCTATGCTGTCGCCACATAGAAGAAAGGACGGGGAGGAAGCTAACTCAGATTTTTCTACACAGCGGAAGATAGAGAGGAGAGGATTGATGCCTGCTAACTCTAATCTGTGGGTTCTTCTGGGCCTCGGCATCGCCGGCATACTGATCGTGGCCCGGAAACTGAAGCGGGTTGTGAAGGAGGACTTCGGGGCGTTCGTTGAGCGGTTCGAGCTCCTCCCTCCTCCACAGCCCGCTCCACCCAAAGCTCCTCATCCCCTCACTGGCCTCACCTTCGCGGTCGCAGATGTGTAAGCATTTCCACTTTCTTGTCGACCTTTTGAATTTAGGATTTCATTGGGCTCATTCTCCTCTTTGGGGAGGCGCAGTGGTAATTTTATGTTCAAACTATTTTTATTTATAAGGTAGGGGTAATTGTATGGCAGGATAAATGAATTAGGTGGTTTTAAGTGATGAGAGGACGCTGAGTAAATGGCATTCACTTGAACAACATAATCCCTGCCCCTTTTTCTAGGCCACGGTTTACGGCGTACGGGAAACTGACGATTTTTCTTAGGGTTAAAAATCTTAGGGAGATTTATGCACGTACCGACATTGTATTTTTTATTTTCAACACTAATGTGAGGCATTTGAAATGAACTATTGAATTCATGTAAATTAAATTCATTCATAATTTAATGAAAAAAAAAAATATATATATATATATATATATATATATATATATTTGAATGACATTAATGTAAATGGAGGTAGTTCAATGCTACCATGTTTTTTAGGAGAGTGAAACTTCAATTTTGATGTTAGTTTTGCTCTGCTGGATTTGCTATTGTAAAAAAAATCCACCATGAATATTATTTTTCATTGTTCTAGATTTTTAGTCTTTCTGCTTGGAAGAGGCTAGAGTTTGATGCATTGAAATTCCCGTGTTCCATGTTATGCATAGGCAAGATGATGAAAGGCTAGATGTTTTTGAGGCCTTCCAATGGGTGGGGTTTTTTTTGGGTGATATGAGATATCTCATCATTTTTTCTGTCATCAGCATCCTAGATTTTGTGTTTATCTTGTAGTCTCGAATACTTAAAAAGCCTATGCTCAACTCAAATGTACTTAATCATTTGCATATTGAATACCTTTTTGATGTTTTGTGGCTCTACAAAATGAAAAACCAATGTGGGAAGCCTTTAATCCTCTCTCCGTAAAAGTGAGGCTAGGCCCAAAAATGTGCTGACTTTAATATTAGTGTGGGTAGTTTCTACATCAATTTTATGATAACTCTAAATTTGTACAACTCTTAAACACCCATTGAACATTCCAATTTGGACTCTTGGTTGATTGATGGGGGACCTTTTGTAGTCTTCTTCTACCTTTTCACTAGCATTGTTGAGGTGGCATATGCTCTCTTTCTCTTTTACTTTTTAGCTTGGACAAGGAGAACCTTGGCTTTATCAGCTTCAACTTCGGTTGGGCTGAGAACTTTGAAATAAATCAACCCTTATTGTCACTTTATTTATTCCCCATTTGCTTGATGGGGACTAGCACGGTTTTGGTCTCGAGCTCTAATTGTAAGAGATTAGTTGTTTTATTCGGAGTTGGTTAACTACTCTTTATCGAAGCACATAATGGCTCCTCCAATTTTTAATGGAGTCAATTATTCCATCATTGAAGACAAACACCTTTATTCATCAAATCTTAACGAGATAGAGAAGTTTTGTCGTCATCTAGTTGATATTATGTTCAACAAACATCTTGATTATACTAAAAAGAATGGTGTAGAAGTTTTACATGAATTGACTTGACACTGAATGGTAGTACTCCTAGAAGTCCTTCTTCTTGGACAATAGACATAGCTTGAGGCGGAATGGATCCACAAATAAGTACTACTCAACATTTAAGGAAGTTGTGACCTTCCCATTGTGCTGGCAAACTCCATTTCACGTTGTTACGGTCCTATGCAACGATCTCCTTCATTGTCTTATCATAACTTGGAAGGAGGAAGTTTACTCTGTTGGAACATGTCCACTCGTGGAACACTGTGGCTCCATAATACTCATTACTTTCTACAATGATCTTTAAAGAGTTACAAACGCTAACATGTAGCTATGAAGATAAGGCTGTAGAAGATGAAATAAAAAATTAATGTGCATTGAACACAAAGCTTTTTCTCTGAGCCTCAATATAATTTTATAGGCACTCTCGTCCATCACATATGGGAAGTTGAGTGAGCCTTTGATACTCATTATTCAACGTTCTCAGATGTGTTAGTGATTGATGTGGTAGACATCACATACATTACATCATACAACACTTTCGAAAATTCCCATTATTTTTTAATTTGTGCTTGACGACTTATCTATCTAATTGATGCCAAGTTATCTACTGACCCCTTTGAGTTTGTCAACTAGGTTGACTTACCCTCCCAGATTGATAGAGTACATTTGATTTGATCAATTTTTTATTTTTCTATAATATAAGGCTTTTTTTTAACTCTCCCATATTTTATAGTCTTTTTTTTTACTCATGTGATGAATAGAGTCGCACCTTCGACTAGTTTACTCATCTCATTCCATTACACCCTTAAAGAAGTGCTTGTCTCATGCATAGGATTCAAAATGAGAGTGAAAGTATAAAGCCTCATTTTTGCATTTAGACTTAGCTATTCATGTGTTATATGGCCAGGCCTAATGCAACAACAAGCTTGTTTAAGTTTCAAGGACTCATTGTTCATGGTGTTAGATCAGATCAACAACTCTTGGATCAACAGTCAAACACATAACTCCACAGTTTTGAATTTGCCCTCCCAGATTACTACTTTGTTGAAGTTCTAATTTGAGGCCTTAACTTCATTTATTTGTCCCCATATTACCATTTTTAGTATGCTTGATCGATCTGCCTTGATCTACCATTTGCATCCAATCGAATCATTACAACTTTTCACCTTAATCTGCTCAACTATAATGCTTGCTACTTTCTTCAGATGTCCAGCTATGACTTTCCACACACACTTTGTAACATAACAATCATTTCCATTGCACTCCCTTAAGGGATTAACATGTGGCATATTGTGGTGGGACGTGACATCTGCCTTTAAATACTCCCTAATCTTCCCACACTTTTTTGAGACTTTCGACTCCTAGTAACTGCACATCCATCTCTCAGCTCGCTTGATTAACAACCACATGATTGGTGCCATCCATTGACTCTTTGCTCGGCGCGTTCCTCTTGACTCTGAGTTTCTCAACATTGATCAGTACATTCTTGCACCCATCACATTCATTGCGGATATTCCCTTTTGCATGACCTTCTCTTGTACATAAGCGTATTTCAGACCTTCGTATGAGTTAAACATTGGATTTTGGTTGATATTTGATTCTTGCTTCTTGTAAAATATCACCTCTATTCTATGTAATTCTCCTTCTCATAGCTCGTTGAAAGAAGAATTCTCTAATCCTTGGTTAATGATAGTGAAACATTCATCCTATTTACCAGTGGATGTAAGTCAAGACACCCGAGCTATGTAAAAATTGTCAGGGTTGTCTCTTTCTCTCTCTCAATTTTCCACCATATTCTCCTCACCTCCTTTTTTTCACCAGGTAGGAAGTTGTCCAACTTGACAACTCTCCCTTCTCTCGTTCTCTCTCTCATTAAGATGTTCTAAGTCTACCAAGCATCGCCCATCGACTTACATGGCTGGAAACTAGCATTCACAATTAGAAAGTTGGTTGTTGTTATAATTTATGAAGTAATTTTCTCTTTCAGAAGTGTTATATATTTTGTCTTGTTATTTAGTATGGTAGGAACAATGTACGCGTTTTAGGCTTCATACGAGATAACTTTTTTAGTATTTTCGTGATAGAAAAAATAGACAACAGGAAAATATTATTCATTTGGAAGACTATTTTTTCTAAATTTTTTTAAAAGTTTGTCTTTAAAAAGCTGTTTTTAAGAAAGCTTGCTTGAAACAGTGATTTGTGAAGTAAGCTTTTAAAAGCTAAAGCAAAAACACGTAAGTCGTTCAATCGAAGCTTTATATTTTGGCGATCGAACCTTCATAGTTTGGTAGGAACAATGCCCGGGTTAAATTTACGTAAAAATAGTTTTTATTCTGTAATTGCTAAAGAGGTTTCTCTTTGGACTGAAAGGGATAGTTGCTAAATTCACACAAGGCAGTATCTTATCTTGGTAAATACTTGCGTAACTCTATGCACTATTCAAACTATTACTATGCAGCCAAAGTAGAAGGCTAGATTATGATTTTGCATTTTTCAAATACTATGTTCACAAATAGTTTTGTCTAGTTTCGTATTGTAATTGGATTTCTTTTCATTATAGTTGATAGATTAAACTTTCCTTTCTACTTGATGACCTGTAATTGCATTTTCAAATAGAAATATTTATTTTAATTGAGGTTTAGCTTATGTAGTGTGGAGGATATTTTCTTTCACCATTTGAACGCTTGGTTTTGATGGCCTTTATCATGTGTATGAATTTTATGCCAGCTATTTTATTTAGTTTACCCAAAGGGAAATTTTTTTCTCTGCATTTTCCTAAATATTTTTTAGACCTCTAAACATTCTATTGCTGACCTCTTCAGTTCCATTTCTTAATGTCTTGGGATCATTCATATTTTATGTTTTTGGCATCAGATTTAATATCGAAGGATATGTTACGGGGTTTGGTAATCCAGACTGGGCAAGAACTCATGAAGTTGCAACACACACATCCTCTTTAGTTGCCACGCTCATAGATGGAGGTGCTACATGTGTTGGTAAAACAGTCATTGATGACATGGCTTTTAGGTGAGACAACCAATTTTTTTGCTAGATTAAATTCTCTTTATTTCACATATTTCTACTTATAGTTAGTTTCTTATTTGACATATTAATGCGTTTATTTTTTAATGAATTATCCAATGACATGGCTTTTTGGTGAGACAACTCATTTTTTTGGTAGATTGAAATTTTTATTTCACATATTGCTACTTATCGTTATTTTCTTCTTTGGTATTAATTGGTTTGTTTCTTTACCAATTTATCCATTAGATAAACTTCTAGGGTATGGGCTAGCTTGTCATTTGTTTTGATTTTTCGAACTGCTGCTACACTATTGTTTGACTCCTTTCTTGCTTTTTTTTTTTTTATAAATTTTGCGGTGGATAGTTATTTTTTACTATCAGATTTTTAAGAATGTGATAGTTGCAAGAAAGTTGCTGTATAACCGTTTTGAAAAAAAATATTTGTAATACCCGCAGCAGTTAAAAAAAAATTTTTCCCCGCAGTAATTTTATAGCCACTTTTACAGAAAGTTGCAGCACTTCTAAACAAACTCTTATTCTATCTATTATTTTTAGTTTTTATGACAATATTTTTCTTTCTCATTCTAATAACTTATCTGTTGCTATTACATGACTTTAATATTAAATTTTGTCAGTTTAAGTGGTGAAAATAAATATTTTGGCACACCAACGAATCCTAAGTCTCCTGAACGGATCCCTGGAGGATGTTCTAGTGGGTCGGCTGTAGCTGTTGCTGGTGGCATCGTAGATTTTGCATTGGGTAAGCTTCTTCACTAGATTTTCCTTCTGTTTGGGCTGCAGCAACTATGAGCTTACAATTTTTGAACTTCCATGTAAGGGCTATAAATTAATTGAAATGATTCTTATGAAGCCATTCTTATAGTTTCAAGTTTTGGTGATTTTGGTTCAGTTTTGGTTGTAGCCAATAAAAAAACTTACTAATATTTTTAGTTTCGTTTGTCTTAAAGTTTAGGGCAAAACTAAAGAGTTGTAGTGGAGCTTTGCTTTAAGTTTTAGGCGAAACTCAATGTTTATGCTAAAAACTCATATTTTTAATTACTTTCAATAAAATGCTGTTCAACAGTCACCAAAATCTACTAGAATTTCTTCTTTAAGGTCCATTAATTTTTATGTGTATTTTATCTTGAATTTTAATTAAATAATCCTAGTTGTTCCTATCATAAATATTTTTTTTATAGTAATTTATACTAAAAAATTAATTGTAATCAGAACTGAAATTAAATTCTGAAATTGGCAAAACTATCTAAACAAGATTTTACGATGAGACCAGACCTTAATCAAAATCGCATTCCAAAACCTTATTTTAAGAGTAATTTGTTGCTAACTTGTGTCTTTTTGTGTGCTTCGCCATTTGTATAAGTATTGAGATCTTTATTTAAGAATTGAAAAATATTCCCTTTTAACTTATTATCTATTTAGTTATTGGGCGATCAAGCTCATTTGTGAATACTTTGGTATTTTGGATATCCTTCCAATTAATAAATCTCTTTAGTTTTTTCTTCTTAAAAATAAAAAAACCATCAATGTTCATCACTTTCACACTCATGAGTGAAGAATTGGTTTAAAAAAAGCTTGGGTGATAATAATGGCTATCATTTTATATTTTTCGGAACGTGAAGTCCTATCTCGAATAGATTAGATAAATATGGGCATAGTTTTAGGAAAGGGCTGCTACGTTAATTTTTCCTAGCAAGGGAACCCTTGTAAATATAATATTAGAAAAACGTTACATTGCCTGCTTAATATGCAGCTTAAAAGATTGTCCATCAAACGGTTTCATTTCCCCTTTTTTTTCCTTGTTTGTTAAATTGAGGATTTTAGCTCAACTTTTTTATGAAATTATATATATGTTTATATATTACGACTTATTCGATCAAATATGCATGCATATAATATAATAAAATTTATCTCATATATTTATTACAACTTATTCGTTCAAATATGCAAACATGCAATATAATAAAATTTGATTGTGAGAGAGAGAGAGAGAAAGAAATTATGAGCATACTTCATCTTATCCAGGTTTGTCTTAAAATCAGCTTGGTGATTGGATTGTGCCGAGGTTTAACTTAGGGGTTAGCTAGAATGAGTTTTATCGGAGCAAAAAATTGATTTCATCTTCAAGCAAGTTTTGTCTTCAAGTTAAATTGTTAGTGATGTGAATGGCCGACGATGCTCCAATTGTGATGTGATACAACATGCGGTGAAATATGAATTGCACGTTAGAGATTAATGAGAGTTTAACTTTGCAATGTTAACGATAAAATCTAGCTTACTCAAGTTGGATTCAAGAAACTTCGTGATAGATTATGTTAACGGCAGTGATTACATTTAAGAATTACAAGAGTCTTGCAAAAGATAACCAAAAGAAAATTAAATAATGCAAATAGCTACTACTAAAGCTACACGTTTAAAATTTAGACCATTCACCTTGAGATCCGTCACTTGTTTTGAAAGTGGTGGCTAGCGAAAGAGAATTGTAAGTAGACTTAGCGATGTCACTAATAGGCAAGTGATCTTGAGAGGACTCGTCGCCGGGAAGGAAGCCGGAGTTGGAGAAGCCGGTGGGTGTCCGCGGATGGTCCAATTGTAGTCTTCAAATTGCTCATCTACGACATCCACGAGCGTAGGGAGGATGCGGTTCAAATAGTCTTTGACGGTGTCGTCGGGTCCAAACCCTACGTAAAAGAACGGCGAGCGAGTTATATGTATACTTTCGTAGACGTCGAGCACTAACCCACTGTCAATCTCGGGATCCGCCATGCATCTTGCCGGAAAAGAAGGGACACAAATAAATGGGGAGGAGAGGAAGGTGGCGGGTTGGAGGAGGATGGTGGGATGGGTTGGGGCACTTGACTAGTCTGAGTAGAGAAAGACGATTTTAAGATCAAAGGGAAGCTCAGTAGAACAGAAAAGCTTCAGGAAACCAATAATTTCCGTTTCTGATATTGAAATAATGGGGAGACGTGGAGAGGGGAAATTGAGAAAAAAAAATTCAAAACAATTCCAAAGGAGGCGTGGCAGCAGTTTTGAGTAAAATCTGTAATAATTCAGAAAGGAGGGGAGGCGGCTGGACTAGAGAAGGAGGCAGAGAGGATTTAGCAAAGTGGGGACCACGTATTTGAATGGCAAATTTTGAGTAAAATCTGTAATAATTCAGAAATTTTTAACAAAGGAAACGTCCCTTTAATTGATGGTAGAGATCAGGCAACGTTTGAATTTCAAATAGACTTTAAAACTCAATTAAAACAATTGCCTAAATTCTAGGAGTCAATTAAGGAAGGTAATCAAAGGTTCATGAGGAGTTTTGAATTTCAAAATCCAAAATTCTAAAGGGGAGGCGGGATGGAGCTGCGGAGCTGGTTGTCGGGATGCTGGCCGGCGGGTGGCTGGGTTGTGGACGGCGGGAGGGTGGCTGGGCTGTGGCCGGCGGGAGGCTGCCGCAAATGGGCCGACAGCCTTGGCGGCTTGGAGCAGGTGGCGACAACAGCAAGAAAAAAAAGAAAGTGAAAATTTCTAGGGATTCGAGCGTGAATTCCACTCTTCACAAATGCTTCGACCGGATCTCCACGACGACGAATCGATCACAAGAAAAAAAGGAAAAAAAAATGGTAGAACAAGAAGATCTAGAACTCACAAAGAGATCTAACTTCTCCTACGAACTCACTAAGAAATCGAGGAGGGTGAACTCACAAAGAGATCATAAGTGGCAAATATCTTTTCATTCATCAAAAGCTAACTATTACATAAGAAAAGGGCCATATAAATAGGCCTCAAAATGACAAGAAAGCAAAAGACTAAAATGCCCCTCGGGCTACAATAACGACCAAATACCCGTAAGGGCAAAAATGGAAAAACATAAAACACAAATAAACTACTACATAAAATGATGAAAATAAAGATCATGATCGTGGCCGTCGATCTCCGGCATCTCCTGATGGTACACATGTCGCAATCTCTGACGATGTCCTCATCAAATTGTAGTCGGGTCGTCGACGGGTGAGGACGCGCACGATGTCTGGGACAACTCGATCCAAATAATCTTCAATGGTGGCGTCGTCTTCAAATCCTACGTCGAAGTACGGAGATCGTAAGATGTCGAGATTTCCATTGGCATCGAACACGAGTCCCCGCTCAAATTTGGGATCTGTCATTCGACATTGAAATGGAGAGGGGAAGCGTCGTCTTCTCCTTTCCTTGGCTTCTCAATTCACAAGAGAAGCTAGATGGGGGCGGCGGGAGCAGGAGGAAGAGGGGAGGCCGGCGGGTGCAAGGGGAAGGCTAGGGTTGGAGAAAAGAGTTTAGGGAATTATGGAGGGGATTAATCAAAAACTAAAATTTAATTTTAATTTTGAGTAATTTGGGAGAGAATTGACTTGAAATTTGAATTTCAAATCAAATGAAATTAAAGCCTTAATTGGGGAATTATTGGGGAGCTAAAAAGGGGGGAGGCCGGCGGTTTCAATAGAGGAGAGGGACTGAAATAAATTTGGGAGGGAGTTTTATTTGAAATTAATTTTAATTTCAAATGGGTGAGGGATTAATGGGGCAATTAATGAGGTGGAGCCTAGTGAGGCCGGCGGCATCAAGAGAGAGAGGGAAAGGGGTGGGAGCAATTTACAAACCTTCCAAATTTGCTTATTTGCATGAAGAGGTTTGATTATGAAATCCACTTTGATTCAAATTTTGAAATGATTTGAATTTGAAAACTTTCCATATTTGGCTTTGACAAATTTGGAAATTTTCAACTCAAATAATTTTTAATTTTCAAAATTTGAACAAGTGGGGAGTGGGGAAAAGGGCCGGTGGTGGAGGAGGTGGGGTGGTTGGCGGCCAAGAGGGGTTAGGGTTGGCGGGTGGGGAAAAGGCGAGGATCGGATGATGGGGATCGACCACGAGTCACAGACTCTTCCAATGACTAGCGGGTATTGCTTTTCGCCCTCACCTTGGGCTTTCGTTCTCCTCTCTAACTCTCCACAAGAAGAAGAAGAAAAAAGATAACCAAAACAAATTTCATTCAAAATATTCATTAACCTCAATACAACACATGAGACCACTATATATAGGTCTCAACTCATGAAAAGAGAAATCACGAAATTGCCCTCTGGGCTACAATAACAAAGTAACTCCCCACAGGGGTAAAAATGAAAAGACTGCAAATGAAATAAAATAAAATGAAAATACATCATGACATCTGAATCAAAAGTAGAGGTGCTGAATCATGGCCATAGATCTGCGGTTTCGCCGACGATAAACATGTCGGTAGCGTCTGTCGATGTCCTTATCATTTAGCATTATACCAAGCATGAAATTACAACAAAATAAAATAACTTTAATTAATTAAAGATGGAATAATTGGATTTTATTTTCTCGCTTTTCTCGTGACATACAACAATTATATAAGTTGAGTTTGGAATGTATTTATCATATAAGGTTTAGGTTGGCAACACTCATTAGGCTTGTATGGAGAGCGAGGATTCATAAAATTGACCACTAATAATTAGATAAAGTTGATGATGATAATGATGAAGGTGTGGTATACTTTTTGGACTAACAACAACATTAATCTTTTATCCCACAACATGGGGTCGGCTGAATGAATTATTTTTCTTTATTGTGTCCTTTTAAGAGTCAAATTCTCATTTAAATTTAATAAAAAAAGTTTATTTCTAATATTTTCGAGTCAAATCCTTTCAGGTCTACCTCTACCTTTCTTAACATAGACGACAATGAAGAAAAAGGATTTTGAAGAAGAGTAACTTAGGACGCTAGACCATTTAGTTCAATTAACAACTTGAAAAGCCCAAAATGATTGAGAAGGCACAATGTGGTTCTATAACCAAAGGCTCAATTGCCCTAGATCCACAAGCGTGCAATTACGTGATTTTTTACTATGGGCATGCACGAGATACAAACAATAACTATTTTCTTGTCTTCTTTTGATTGTCCTCTGTCCTAGTATGATTTATACCTAACATTGTGATGCTTATGAAATTATGCTTCTTTAATCTTGTAAATTTGTTATGTGATTTTGTTTGTGGCTTAGCTATGCTTATTTGGTTACTGGAAGATAATTATTATTAGTTATATATAGCACGTATCTTCATTATGAAGTTTCTTTCGAGTGTCTATGATTTGGCGTTGTCATTGTGAATATATCATCACAGAAACATTTTCTTTTGCAATGTTAAGGAAATTCGAGTGCTTGAAAAAGTGCCTTGGTAAGATTGTGATAAGGTCTCTTTTACAATGTTGTTGAAGGCAAATCGAGTGCTTGACAAAGTGCCTTGGTAAGATTGTGATAATGTCTCTCACACCTCGTAAGTAGGCACCATTTTTATGACACTCTTGGCGAGTCTATTGTTTGAAGGTGTTATGTAGAGGGTGTAGAGCTAGTACTTTGAAGGATATGTTAGCTTTAATCTGAAAAATTTACATGAGTTGTGTGAAGTCAAATAATAGTTGGGGAAATAACAATGCATATTAAGAATTGCAATAAATTAATTGTTGGCTTCAAAGTTTCAAGTTCTACAATTATCAATCTTGCTGATGAAGGTGATGAGTTTGGGGTGAGAGAGATGAAGAGAGGGAGTACTGCAATCTAATGAGAGAGAATAGAGTTTAAATGATGGAGAAGGTGAAGTAGATATTTGCGAAAACTCAATAATATCTAGGTTATGCATGCTACACTGGGTTTGCTAAATATGCTTTTCTGGGTACTTCATCCATAAATGTCTTAAGCTTGCTTTTGAAACTTGGAATGTAAGAAAATTTAAAATGTTTTATTATTTTGTCTAATATATTTTAGTGTGAGGATTATCATTTATACTCTTTACAAATAATCTATAATTGAAATATGCTTGTCAAATAAAATTATTGATAATTTTTAGAGAATGATTTTACTCCGGTGAGCGCTAAGGTTTGTGCTTTGTGCCTTTTATCATCTTGAGGATGCCTGGCTCTTTTGAGCCTAGCATTTTTGATATCAATGGTTTCACCAAATAGTGAAAAAGGAAACAGACAATCATATTATATGTGCAAAAGAAAACCGATAATGATGTTATATGTTATCAGTAACTAGTCATTGTTTGGATTGGTGCATATGCAGTCATCGTTTTTTTTTAACTCCCAGATGCATGCAGGAATGGACACCGTAGGTGGTGTGAGAGTACCTGGGGCTTTTTGTGGAATTTTGGGGTTTAGACCATCGCATTCCATCTTGAACAATGGTGTTCTTCACGTCTCTCCAAGTTTAGATGCCCCTGGTATGTTTTTATGAGTTGCATACCCCTCTCTACCTTCTCTTTTACCTCTTTATTACATCATTCGCGGCATTACAATTGTGTTTGTCTTCATTTTGAGTTATTTGTAATTTGTTTCGCATACTTGTGTGGTACTTGATATTGTCTGTTTAGGGAAATTCAAGTTACTAGTTCATTGTGAAATTTTTATAGTCTGCCACTGAATATGGTATGAAAAGGTCCATTATGTTGCCATGCGTGCATGGCTGAGGGAAATTCTGATCTTGAACTACTTTACCATGGAGTCATTAGAGTACATCTCTTCTTTTCTATTAATTTCTTTTGCCCATTAATTCAAATGTGTTGCTTTGTCCTTGAGGCTAAATCAAATTGATTGATCAAAACTTGTTCAAGCAACAAGAAAAAGTTTTTTGTTGTATACAATTTTTTTTAATTTTCTATCGCACACAAATAAAGCATGCATGAACTGGTTTCATTTAGACTGAAGAACCCAAAAATCAAGTTTATTTGTCCCCGCTGGATCTGGTCTGTTCTTTAAAGGTCTCACGACTGCTTAATAATCGAAACGGTACAATGGAAAATGGTTTTACTTATTTCTTTGGGAATCGAAACGGCACACAAATAAAATGTTTTTACTCTTGCGGTTATAGGCCTTTTCTGTCTAGAACTTTCTGGGAATCGAGTTTTCAAATCTCTTAGTACAAAACCTCAACTCACTGACCTTTCTCTGTTTTTTTCTACAACCAGACGGTTCCAACACATGCCTTGTAACATTGTACTATGTACCCATAGTACTCATTTCTTTGGCCATCCTAGCTTCCACTTCTTACACTCCTAAGGCTTCGAACCCATGCGGTTTGCTCCCGTTTCTAATTAGGTTGGTTTTGGACCTAAATATGCATTTGACATAACGAGTGAATTGACCTCTATAGGATAACTGGTGGACACATTTTGTATGATTTTAATTAATACTTTGTTGGCTATTTGCACTTTTTGCAGGACGCAAAACATGAATAAGTTGATTAATTGCTTTTATTTATAGGGTTGTTTGCCAAAGATCCCAGTGTTTTGCATCGTGCAGCTCATGTGTTACTCAAACTTCCATATGCCGATGTACGTCCACCTAGACGTGTTATAATAGCTGATGATTATTTTCAGTTAATGAAAATTTCTTCTAGAAGGATAACTCAAGTGGTCACAAAAACAGTGGAGGTGCTGTTTGGGAGTAAGTTCATGCATCATCTATTGTTTTCTTCAGATCTTAGAAATTCTTATTATTATTGAGGGTCTGTTTGCGGCAGTTTTATTACTGATTTGTATTTCAGATTGTTGCCGCACTTTTTGTTGCTTTCTAAAACGTAGCAAGCTACTTTTGACAGTCAGAGCTGCTAGACTGTGGTAGTTATAAGAAAACTATATATATATATATATATATAATACTGATAATAGTTTAAAAAATATATATTTCTGCTATGGCTCTATATTCACCTTCACAAAAAGTAGCTGCCCTAAACAGACCCTGACTTATGGTTGCTTTTGTTTTACTAATATGGTGTGGTGATTGCAGAGCAAAGTTTGAGCCATGCCAATGTTGGTGAATATCTTGCGTCTAAGGTTTCTAGCTTAAAGAAGTTTCAAGTTGGCGCTGTAAATGGTGATTCAAAAATTTCTTCATTAACATCACTTGCTAGTGCCATGAGGTTGCTTCACAAGTGAGTAGTTGCCTTAACACCTTTTCGTAACACTTTCTTTGTGGTATGAATGCCAAAAGTATTAAAGGAATTTTTATTTAAAGTAAACTCATCTGATTTTGAACGTTAATATTTGCTTTTGTGGGTCTGTAATTGCAACTTCGTTTTTTTCAAATGCAGGGAAAGTTTTAAGTGATAGTAAAATTTTCCCAGCTCTGTTTCCTTTTTTTAACATTTCTTTTGGGTATTTTTATCTGTTATATAATCACAAAATTTATTGGATTTAAGCAGTTTGTTTGGATTCTGATTTGTTTCATGTATCACTTTTATGCTTCTTTGAGGGTTCTGACGAATGCCAAAGAGCCCACTGACCTTTATATTTGTTAGACAGAATGGTGTTTTTTTAGCATGGGAAAGTGCTAATTATTATACTTGTTAATATGATGAATTTAGTGTAAAATATCATAGTAAGGATGGTTTGAAATTTTAATCACTTTCACAAAATCTTCCAAATTCAACAGAGCAAACTAAATACTAAACTTTTGTTTATAAACATTTCATAATTTTCACCATTTTTCTCGATTTCTTTTCAAAATACATGTTTTCAAAAAGATAAATTGATACACGTTATTTTTACAGATATAACTTCCGATGTTATTCACTTGGTGTATATGAACTCTCTTCTTTTACCCATTTAGGTTAAAGGACATTTTTATAAAATTAATTATCAACTAATGGATGAGTTAAATAACTTAGTGGCTGATTATGTTTTTAAATCATAGTAATTCAAAAATTAGAAAATAACATGCATGCATATCTTTATATCTAATTCGTTAAATAGTATATTTTAATGAACATAATGAAGAATGTATTTGTAACTTTTACGATGGTAGAATAAATAACCATTAGCTTTTTTTATCATTTTAAGGTCTTATCGTATGCTATAATACACTCATCACTCGAGCACCGCCTAAATTATACCATTAAAGGCGCATCATTTCATAACATTTTCCTTTCTATCCCCTTGAGGGTACGCAATCATTTTCCTTTTCTTTACCTTTACGCATGGGTACATTGCGTCTCTAGCCAATATATTATGGAGATGACTCTATTCTCATACAACATATTATTTGCATTCTTTTAATCATGCATTTATTTTTTATAATATTTTTCATATCATATCATGAAATCATCATTGAATTTTTAAATCATAAGTACTTCATAGCAATATGAGAATTTCATAAGTGAGAGAGAAAATCACTTTAGATGTTTGTAATAGCAGCATGGTATTAACAAGAAAATTCAATGCATATAAGGGGTCGTAATAATTGCCAATGATTGCACAAAAAAAAAAAAGGGTCGTAATAATTAATGCATTCTATTTAGAAGAGTAGAAATCTTTACTATAAAATAGAAACATAATTGCCCACATCAATTTGTATGACTTGATTTTTGCTTGATCTTTGAAGGTCGCTTCCTTCATCTTGATACTTTTATGATATAATATTTTGATAATTTCTGTAAATATTTTAATACTCCAAGCTCGCTAGTTTATATTTTTTGCTCTTTATTAATTATTATTTTTTCATTTTATTTTATTATTTTCTACATTAATTCATACAAAAAAGATTCATCATTAAAATTTATATTTTTTATTAGCATAACCTATATATATATATATATATATATAAATATTATATCTCAAAATAAAATTGTTTAAAATTCAACTTTCTTTGAACTTTTTTTTGGCTTCGTTTGGGACGGCTTTCTTATTGCTTCTTAAAGTAGTTTTTTAGTAAGAAAGTCATCCCAAATGACGCCTTTATATATATATATATTCCTTCTGTCTTTTTTTTTTTCTTCTTCTTTTTATAGAAACTCTAATGATATCTTTTAGTTTAAAATTGGGTTTATGATTCATAAAAGTGTACATAAAACTTACTCTTAGCTTAAGGGAAATGAAGAATAGTCTTTCTTTCGGTGTTGAAATCATCACCTTACAGTGCTATCTAAGCCTGCTCAGCCTCTCCCTGCACGTGCACATCAGCTACTACTCACGCACACTACTGATTCTGATCACGCTCGTTTGAGTCACTTGTTCATGCCCTCCCTCGCCATATCTCACTTCCATTAGGGATTAAGTTGATGTTGCTTCAAATGATTGTGTAACAGTTGTTTGGATAGGTATTCTTATAGTGTGTGTCTATATATATAAACCATTTTAGTTTAATTATAAAATATTAAGTGATTGAAATTATTATTTTATTAATAATTTTAGAGTTAATAATTTTAAGTTATTACTCATAAGGCTTAGTTTTTGCACTTTTGTGGGATGTATAACAGTAATTGTGCCTTTATTAAAGTTGGAAGCTAAAATATCATTGCAATTGTTGAAGTTGAAATTGGATAATTGTCTCTCTCTCTCTCTCTTTATGTATGTATATATATATATATATATATATATATATATATTCACATACATTTATTTGGAACTAATTTTATTTGGTTTAATTCATGATGGTTTTTATTTTTTATTTTACTTCAACCACTTTTATTTGTAGCTTAGTCTCGTTCGTTGCTTTTTTTTTAATGATCTCCAAATAAATTCTGCCATAAATATTGCTCTCAATCATTGTGTTAATTGGTATTTTACCTATTCTTTCGTTCTAAACCCTGTTTTTCTTTTGGTTAAATCTGTAAGTAAACTATTTATGTCTATTAAATCCAGGTATGAATTCAGAATTAATTATGAGAATTGGATAAACTCTGTCAAGCCAACAATTGCTCCTTGTGTATCAGATAATTTGAGTGCACCAGAAGAAAATGGCATCCTTATCAACTGCTGTCAAACTGCAAGAAGTGAAGTGCAACTGGCTATCCATTCTCTACTAAAGGTATTTGTTAAGTTTTTTCTTAAATAAATTTTTTAACCGTTGTATGAAGTTGTTACAATATAAGCAATTAGAACTAACAAAAGATAAAGTACAAAACAAGTTACAAAACAAATGATAACTTGATAATAAAGAGAAAGTAGCCCTTTATAGATGATGAGTGACCCCATTAAGTCTTTATGAGTCAAGAAACCTAAATTGTTTGGTGAATATTGTGTTTTTCTTGAAGTCTAGTAAATCTTGTGTATTAGAATTTTTTTTTTCTATTATTGCTGCACCGCTTGGAAAACACGATTGGAAATCTTTTATCCACTTGTTTTTCAATGTTTGAAAGACTAGTGTATGATTGTTCAGATTTTGGATTAGTAGAGGTAAACCTAAAAAGACTTGTTTATAAAGTATTAAAATTGACATTTTTTTATGAGCCGATCCCATGTCGGAGGATAAAGGATTGTTGTTGTTGTAGCATCCTCAACAACAGGATGATCATGAGGAGATTCCTACGCCAGCCTTGAAACTTTGGGTTGATGTATCAACAATATAGGTGGGCGCAAATTCTCCCAACATGAAATTTATTTTTATTTTTAAAGTATTATTAGAGATTTTCTTTTAAATTGATTTCATATAGTCTTCAATTCATTAATTTTGTCACCACTTACATTGCCTCATACTCTGTCACAATGATAAAGCGTTATTTCATTAGAGATTACTGCATGTTAATAGATGAGTTATGCCTATGTTGTGTTATACAATATACTAGAGAGTGCTATTTTTTTTTTATTTTAATTTTAATGAAAAGTAGGGCAAACCTTTTTATTGATAGTGAAAATGAATTATACTTAAAAAAATAACAACAACATCAAGTTTTTATCCCACTATGTGGGGTCGGCTACATGGATCCTTTTTTTCCATTGTTTCTTGTTAAGATTCAAATTCTCATTTAAATCTAATAAAGAATGGTCAGTACTAATATTTTCTAAACAAGTCTTTTTAGGTCTACTCTATCTTTAAAAAAAAAAAAGTGATAGCAAAGTTTGAACAAAGAAAATTGATAAAAATATTCAAATAGTATGAGTATAATTTAAAAGATCTTCGTATTGGATTCTCCTCCATAATTTTGTGAATTTAAAATGTTTTTTCCCCCTTTATATTATTGATCCAAAAATAAACAAGAATGATTATCTCAATCCAAAGGATCTTTTCCTTTTCCTTTTTGTTAGGGAAGCTGACACCGATTCCAAAATAAGGGATGATAGACAATGAAGGAAAACAATATGCTCGTTGCTAAATGGATTACAAATACAAAAGATGGTATGTAAGTGTTACAATTGACACTTAAATTCCAAACGTAAAGAAAGAACAAGAAACCCAATGCAGTTAACTCCCAGCAAAAAAATCTTAAAGCTCCCGACCGAGGTTCTAGCGCCTGTGAATTCTCAATTTTCTATTCTCTTAGAAAGCATGCTATTTGCATCAAAGCTTTTAGGCAACTTATCCCAAAAAATATATACAACCAACCCTACCTTGCAGTTGGAATAAAAAGGAAGGCACTCTAGACAGGCTAACATAAACCTTGACTTAAAATAACTTAACCAACATAAAAACAGAGAAGTTCCCATCACCAACTTGTGAGTATTCTTGGAAATTTGTTTCTAGCAAGACTCACTGCATCAACTACCAAATCTGCGGCTAACCACTGCTTCTATTTTTGAATATGAACACCAAAAATTCCTTATCTGACCTGTGCTAGGCTTGTAGAATTTGTTTTTCAGAAAACTAGCTTGACTGGAATTTCCAGCAACCAAAAATTATCAAAAGAAGAGGAAAAACCAGGAGAATAACTGGTCAACCAAACAAAGTAATTAATATGAAAGAGAAGAAGAATAGAGAACCTGATAGGAGGCATCCCTAGACACTAAACTGCAAACTGAAAAATAATTTGTGTTACTATAAACCTTTTTTTTAACGTGTCTTGCTTGAAGTTTTCAGTTGTCCACCTTGCTGTCTGTCACCCAAGCATCAACAACGATCAAATTGTTCAACTGAAAAATGATGTTAGGATGATAAGGACATCAGAAAATGGCACCTCGCATGCACTTGAATGATCTTGTAGAATGAGATCGAAAAGAAGGATAGCACAATTGATAAATATGAAGTTATGTGAAACACACACTGCAATGAATGTAGGTCACCTTATATTTAGTTTAGTTCTATTAATTTAAATTTTAAAGGAAGGATAATGACACTGATAACAGTGAGTTCAATCATGAATGCTGAAGAATGAATGAAGCTAACGCTATAGTTTTTTGAGAAACATCGATAGAATGTTTTAATACAAAAAATTTAGTCTCTGATTCGGTTCTTTGTTTTCATGGGCCTTTCCTTGTGACACATCTTGCTTCTATCTTAACCTCCACGCAGGATGATGGGATTCTTGTTCTTCCTACAGTGTCAGGCCCTCCTCCGAAACTCAATTCAAAGGAACTTTTATCTGAAGATTATCAGAGGCGCTTATTAAATCTCTCAGCTATTGCAAGCATGTCAGGTTGTTGTCAGGTAAGCTTTCTCAGATGTCTGGTTAAACATGCAAATGTGTCATATGTATTGCTACGTTTATTTATGTGCATATTTGTATGCACTCAAACTCCTGCTCAGCAAATTATGTCCAGAAAATGATCTATTTCATCCCTTCCTCTTATTTTGTGGATATTATTTTATGTAGATAACAATACCCCTGGGATTTCATGAAAAGCTACCTGCGTCAGTCTCCTTCATTGCAAGGCATGGAGGTGACCGTTTCCTACTTGACACAGTTAAAACCATTTACTCCAACCTTCAAGACCAAGCTGATATAGTCGTGAAGTCTTCCTCACAAAGCATCAGTGTAAGCAAGGAGGAATCTGCTGAAATCGCAAAAGAGAAGGTCCATCTTACTTGCTTAAGCTAAATTTTAGTGATAGTTCTTATCTATGTTCATGAGTACTTTGAGCATGCTATCCTCAAAATTGGACATTTGGGAAAACGGTGTTAAATCATGAAAACTATTTCAAAGTTTTTGGTAACATTTTACTGGATCATACGTAGCTTTTATTTGGGAAAAAAATGTCTAGACTGTTAGAAGAAGCTAATCTAAATAGATGGGATGATTATGTAGTTAATAGGGCTGAGTCAAGTCCTATAATGGCATTCAATTTTAACCAAATTTAATTTCGAAACATTCCTTGACATTTACAGGCCAGCTAGTGCTTAGAAATAGTGTCTCTGCCTCAACATATTATGTTTTTTAGTCAGTTGAGCTGGAGGTATTCTCAGGTTTTAGGCATGCAAATCTTTATGTTACTCTTGAATATCTTCACCTTAATTTACTTGTGCTAATATTTCTCCAGTACTCTAATTATCTATCAATCTGACTATTGCCATGCCACTAACTTGATGATGTTATTTCTGTTCATAACACTTGTGGCGAATTTTCCCTTGTAATGACACAATATAACAGGGCAACAATGCTTACAAAGAAAAGCAGTGGCAGAAAGCTATAAACCTATATACAGAAGCAATCAAGCTAAATGGAAAAAATGCTACGTACTATAGTAATAGGGCTGCTGCATACCTGGAATTGGGAAGGTACTATTTTGGAAACAGGGAGCAATGTCACATGAGTTATTATGTTTTTTTTTTTTTTTTTTTTTTTTTTTTTTTTTTTTTTTTTTTTTTTTTTTTTTTGCTTGTATTTATTTATTTGTATAATTGATAGCTTTTATATTTGTTCATCCAGTTATATGCAAGCAGAAGCTGATTGCAGCACTGTCATCAACCTAGATAAGAAGGTAAGATTTTATATCTTAGAATCATAAATGAAGTTCTTAAACTTTTTTGCTAATGTTTTGATCTGTACACTTGTCCTGTTGTCTAGGATGGGATTCTAGTTTATGCAGCCTATGAAAATGTTACCTATTTTTGATCTGCAGAAAAAAAAAAATATGCCACATTCAAATCGACCCGAGCCTAGATTTGTGCTTTAAAGTTAGATCAAGTTTAAAGTATATTGTTTATGATGATCCCTCTCTAAATTCTAGTTATGTTCACACTTAAAAGGGCTTCTGGTTATTGATGAACTTGTCATCTAGTCTTTACTAATCAGGCTGGTTCACGAGCCTACATGAAGTGGAAATTTTTCTTTGAGATCAAGAAATTGAGCATGCTCGTTCACCAGGATTCACCAGGATTCTTAGGAACATTCAAATATTAAACTTAATTTGACTGTCATGAATGGATAAATGTCTTCCATATCTGTTATTTATATGTTTCTTGTCATCCAATTTTGAAATCTTCTTTTGGATTACGGACTTCTGATTAGTTCTCATTGTATTATTTTTACTCAGTTCTTCATCACAACATTTTAAATGCCTCCGAGGGACAAAGCTATCAAAGAATTCATCTGTATTTTCTTAATTGTTTGTCAAGTTACTAGAGGAACACATCTTAGGTTTTAAACACACTAATATCCTGAATTTCTACTGCTATTTGTCTATTTAACTTCGATCATCATGCTCATTTCTTCTTCATTTGCAATTCAATTTATCTCTGTCAGAAAGTACGATCTAATGGCTTATTCCCACCCTTTACAGAATGTTAAAGCCTTTTTAAGAAGAGGGACAGCAAGGGAGATGCTGGGCTATTACAAAGAGGCAATAGAAGGTCTCTCTCTCTCTCTCTCTCTCTCTCTCTCTCTCTCCTCTGTTGCTGAACTAAGAGGAAGATGATAATTTTGTAGAATCTGAATTTAATGTCATCCGTGTGCTGCTAGAACAACTCTCCAATTCTACTATGAATTCCTGAATAAACTTTAAAGAATGCTTTTATAACTATTTGAATTATCTAATCCTTCTCAATCTTACAGATTTTAGATACGCCCTTGTTTTGGAGCCAACAAACAAGACGGCAAATAGTGCTGTTAATAGATTGAAGAAATTCATACCTTAAATGCAATTCTGGCACAAATTGGAAGGAAATTACCCACACCAGACAATCTACTTGTCAAAAACATCACAGGTGCAATTTACTAGTTTTCTTGGTGCTCACGCTGCACTCCAGGTCAAAAATTTGAAGAACTCTAACGCTTGTTAGTGGTCCAGCCAGTGCTATTAAACAGTACTCGCAGCGTTTGAATTCAGGCTTGATTTCTCTTATTTTTCTGCACAGTAGGGTTTAGTACAGTTTTGGGTTCTATATCAGAGGATTTCAGCAAAAAGACATTAAATGTACTCTTCTTCCACACAATTTATTGTAATATGACAAGGATGGGCTTCTTTAGGTTTCAATTGTTACAGTTCTTTTAATGTCATGTTTTTTATTTTATTTTTTTCTTTGTTATGTTGTATGCAATAGAATCATCTTATTCTCATATATAAATGTGAGTTTCTATAAGTCATTTTATATGATAATTATCAATTGCCAGTATGTGGGATTATTATTTTGAACTTGACAGTGTTGCTCGTCTTCCGCCGCCTGCGTTCGATTGGCCATTGCCTGCAGCACTAAACAATCTCATCATCTTCTGCTTTTCTATCTTGCATCCTACGAGAAATTATTCTACACGGACGCCGAACACCGTCCGGAGATCAACCAGAATGTGTCATGTCACTCCGTTGTGTATCGCGGCTAGGTACTGTTGACGTGGCTGGCTGCACCTGATTCACCTCCGGACGCAGACTGCATCAGGTGTCTTGCGTCCGGCATCGGATAAGCATTGCAGGTATGCTTCAGCCTCAAATGTGTCCTTTCAATTACAGGTTTCATATTCTGCTAATTTTTTCTTGTAAAATGAGTAAAATCCAGTTGGTTGGTTTTTCATAAGTTTTTTTCTTTATTTGGTTTCCTGAACTTCGCTGTTTGGTGTCCCGTTTGTATCATGATTTAGGTTAGAATTAGTATAAATCTTTCTAAATAATTTTTGGGGGGCTTTAAACCCCATTATTTTGATAAATACTATTTCAATCTTGTTATTGATTAAATTTAGAATTTACTAAATCTAACATAATGTAACTAATAATAAAAATAGTTGGTGGTGGAATCCAAATGTGCAAAAAAAGATTAAAAATAAAAAAATTTGTTATAAAAATTAGTTTAATTTTAAAAATTCTGATAATTGGGAAAGATATAAAGAGACTCGTAAGAAATTTAAAAAAGTCAATATGCGACGCAAAGATCTTAGCTTTTAGTGATTTATATAGTAGATTAGAATACTAAGGAGGGAGAAAGATATATATATAAGTTAGCCAAAAAAAGAGATAGTAGTAAGGATTTAGTTCAAGTGAAGTGTATTAAGGATGAAAATCAAAAAAAGAATTTTCTTAGAAGATGAAATTCAATAAAGGTGGATGTGATATTTTGCTAAATGCACACAACTCTCCTTGGCCTATTGGTTGAGAGCTTAGGCTTCCAACTAAGAGGTCCAAGGTTCGAGTCTATGTGTATGCGTTGTGTGTGTGAGTTTGCCTTAAATGGCCTAAATGTCCCAAAAAAAAAACGTTCATCAAAAAATATGTTGGATGTGACTTTCAAATTTAAGGAAAATACTTTATAAAAAATATTAAAAATAATTTTAATATAC